GTTTTTTTTTTTTTTTTGCTGTTGCTGCACCATAACTCTTAATTTAAGCAAAGAGACTTGTAATTCAATATATTGTGATGGTCCACGATATTATTGATGAATCAGGCTGTCCGTCACCTGCTTGTTTCAATGGATTTATCATTTCTCTGTCTGGAATGTTCCACAGTATGACTTTAAACAGCTCTACCTTACATGTATTCAATTACAGGTGTTTTATAGCTCAAAAATACCTAGAAAAACACACATTCTGACTGTGAGCGGGGTCCATGAAGATAGGAAGATTTAATACCATACTGTGGAACATTCCAGACATCTCCATGGAGTAAACATCTGACAGACCCTCCACCAGAAAAGTTACACAATGCATCTCCAAGAAACCAAATGTAATATTTCTTCCAGCACTGAACAGCAGTAGAATTATTTGCACACACGGGATACGACACAATTGCTCCTAGTTGCTCCTTTGGTGAAGCTCACGTCTTCGCGCTATCACAAGACTTCCAACATATCCGCTGACAGCACATAAAGACTGGTATCCCCCATCCCAGATTTGTCCTCCGCCATTATCCCATGTCCCCATACTGCCGGGAATGTCTGTACTTCAAAGCGCCGAGCATCTACGCACATCATTAGCGAACCGAAGAGCGGAGCGAAAAACTGGGATGAAATCATTTAGACGGGAGCTGCGCATAGGAATTACTACGCCTGTCAAGAAACGACGGAGACAAAAAAGGAGGAGAGGGGAAAATCGGGGAAGGTCTAAGCGATGACGAGTGGAAATGTCAACAGTGATGGGGAATGATAACGCTATGAGGGGCTTTGATTGGAACAGCGGGATGTGGCTATTTCCTGGTGGTGTAGGTTTTTTGCAAAGCGTGGGAAAGACGGTGTGGAATGAGGTGCCGTCTTGTCTTCAGGAGATGTCAGGTAGAATGTGTGACAGGAGGTAATTATCAGAAGAGTGAGATGAGAGAGTGCCATGTAGGGTGTGTTAAACAGGGGTAGGTGAAAGGTGCACGGGAGTTAACAACTGAAGTCAAGAAAAAAAAGCATGAAAAAGAAATGTAGAGGTATAGTTAATTGGCCTTACCAAAGCAAGAACAACAAAGGAAATTCGTAATGAACATAGTTTATTAAAAATGGTTCAGGATTAGTAACTTCTAGGGATATCCAAATCTCTCAGTATTCAATATTATCACAATATGCATCTCACGGTACGATATTTACTGCGATATTTTGGAGAGGGTAAAACAATTATAAACAGGACACTTTTTTGCTTTTAAAATAGCTTCACAAGATTTTGTTGTGAATTATTTCCATCATAATCCCAGGAATTCAAGTAAAAAACATATTACTTCATGTTGTCTGAGCTGAAATGAATCATGGGATATGTAGTTCCTGATGTTTATACGCTGTTGCTACTATAAAACTTGCTTACTTGCTTGGTTGCTTAATTCGATATGCTGTGACAGCCCACGATATTATTGTGAGACTTTTGACGATACAATATCACGATATTTTGATTATTGTTACATCCCTAGTAACTACTTAATGAAGGGTTTAGGTTAGGAGTTAAAGGGCCCAGTGTTGGGAGTAATGCGTTATAAAAGTTACAAATTACTGTAATACATTGGTTTTTGCTGTAACGCAGAAATGTAAGGCATTACAGGGAAAAAAATTGTAGTATTTTTCTCAGTATAAATGTCAGTAACACGCATTACAATGTATTTTTAATCTGGATTGAAGTGGTGGGTTTATCTTTTTTTTTTTCATACAAATTCACGGAGCTAACCCGATCACGTTTTGCAGAAACACTGCTCCATGAGCTAGATTCCACGTCCTAGTCCGAGATTAGTCCTGGTTTAGACATGGATTACTCTTGGTTTAGTTCTGTTTAAGACCTGGCTTAATCCTGGTTTAGTCCTGGTTCAGTTCGTATATACAGCATTTTCACTCACTTAAAAGTAATAGTCGTGTAATGTCTTACATTTTAAATGCAGTAATATTGTGATGTAACAAATTACTTTGAAATGACATTACATTACAATTTTGAAGTAACTTGCCCAACAGTCAAAGGGCTTATATTATACTGTTTTCTGATCTATGTTATCATGTTTTCTTGTTTTTAAATTCCATACACCTTCACTAGAATCATTTGGATAATTTCAGTCCTGGAATTGCCAATCACTGCTGTCCTAAAGGTAAAAGGAGGTAGTTGTTAACTTGAAAACAACTACCACTTCATGAGATCACAAGGTGGAACAGAGCATTTTGAGCTTTGGAGATGTAGACAAACTAATAAACCATGATTACTTAACTGTGTAAATGAAACAAAAGGTATCTCCAGTTATATTTTTGATGAGGCAACAGCATTTTTACATAGCTTAAAGCTCTCAAGAAATATCTTTGTTAATGCTTTAATCAGGCCCATGTATATAAGCAAAGTGTCAAACCCCAGTTCAGATATATTGTATAAGCAGCTCTTTCGGTTAAAATATGACTGCTGTGTGCTGTTTGCATCTAATAATAAAATGTTTTATATTTAGATTGTCAGGAAGTTGCTTTACTGTGATAGCAAAACTCAAGCAAGACTGTAGTTCTAACGTATTACTACAATTGAGGTCACTCCCTAATGTTGCAAGAATTTCTTATGTTACATTAAGTTTAATCTTACAGTATATCAATCTCAATTTAGTATTTTTGAATGTGAAATTAGTTAATAAGTCATGAAAATCCCATTTACATAAATAAATTACTATTGACAAAAAACGTTAAACTTAAAAAGGAATGTCATTTTTGTTTTAATTTGATGTATAATATAGTGCTGTATCAAAATAAACACAAATGTTGAATACTGGAAAGAAAGTTTTTGTCCAATTCTAATAACTTTGTGAATTGAAATTTAGTGTTTAAACTAATTATTTTTTGCTAGCTTTTTCCAGTTTTTTTAATCAGTTTTTAGTATTATGATAGTGTAATTCTTAGCCGTAAAATAACAAACAACATCCCATGACAATAGCACATTATATTGTCAGTCCATTTGAGCAGATAACTTTTGCTTGTACGACAGAGCAGCATAATAGCTTTCTTTTAAAAGAAACTTTCATTCTTTGTACCAAAAATGAGCCCCTGCAGAATTGTAAAAAAAAAAAAAAAGTATTTTCAGAAACACGAGTTGTAGCTTAGGTGAAAAGTACAAGAATTTGCTACACACGTCCTTACAAAACCAAAGCGTTCACTGCAAAATTCTGGGATCAAGGCCACACAACATCACAGGATTTTTGTTAGCGCAGGAGAGAAACTGGCAATTAGCGTGGAAGTCCTTAAAACCAGGAGCAGAAGAAATAGACATGTGCCATTTTCAACAGATTCTGTGCCAGAATTCCCACATGGCACCTTAAAACTGGAGAAAACCAAAACAGAAAGGTATTACTTCCTTAAAATCGAGATTACACAAGACTACACTTCTCAAGGGTAATAAAAGACAAGATTTCAAATAACAAAGCTGGCAGTGTTTGCTAAGAAAGTAAAAAACTGTCTTCTCTTTCCACAGAAGGACATAGAAGTCAGAACAAGTGAGCTGCTAAAACTTAAGGTTTAGATAGTTGTTGACACTGCTCTAACTTGTCTAAAATTGTCAAAAAATTGTTTAAAAATTGTCACAATTATTTTTGGAGCTTAACCTGGACTTGACAAGGATAAACCACGACTACATCTAAATTTCAGTGGGTACAAAAATAAATAAATAAATAAAAATAGCAAGAACAGGCAGTGTTTGACTTTTTTCAGAACATTTTCAGAAGTATTGTCTGGGAACCTTGTTATTCACAGGTATCATGATAGCAGCTGCCATTCAAGAGTTTTGTATGAGGACTACCCACATCAAAATAACACAGTGATCACATCTAAAAAAGTGTTATAGCAATTTGCATTACATTCCTAACCCTGCGCTCAGACTGCACACGGTGCAGCTCTGGTCCGGTGGCTGCAAGTATTCTGTAGAATTACAAGTAATGAGAGAAGCTCAGAGCGCACATGTGCAGTCTGGAGGTGGCGCTTTTTTTGGATTCCATTTTTGCCGGACGCTGGCGCAACCGCAGCCACCACAGCCGTTTTCCCTTAATAAATAAATAGTTATCGCACAAACACATGGTCTCGTGTGTGAAGCCTTCAAAGACCAGTCCCACGCTGGAGCAGCAGCTGGACCAGGTGCAGTCTGAGCTAAAGGGCTAAAACAACACATTTCCAGTATGGCAGAAAAGGTTTCAAAGGTAGTCAAGTGTTTTTGAAACTGAGACATTTCAACTGCTATCCGGATGTCATTTTCATTTAAAAAGGTACTGGCCGAAGGAGTATTTATACTGCCCAAACATACATTATTCCTGCCCTAAAGGCTCATTTGTGCTCTACCTTCAAGACACATACATATACGTATAGAGGCTTCTGACGTCTACTGTGTTGTTCTGTCCGTCATTTGGCTCCTCAGATCTTGTGGAACCATAACAACGGAGCAGTAAATGTGCTAAACACTGGGGAGTAGTGATCACAGCCCAATATTTTTAAAAAGTGACTAGAACCAGCTGCAAAACAAATAAACACCTCCCTCACCTCATTTTGTTGACTCTTTTCCAACAGCTGTGATCTAAAAACTGCCGTGGGCGCTGCCATGCTTGTTTATTTGTTGCACTATTTCGTCAACGGTCAATTCTCAAACTGACTTTTACCTTCCTCTGGCGGTTTAAGAGAACACCGCATTAGAAACATTTGGATGTGTAAATACAGTGAAGTTTACGACGCATGGAATGCAATGATCTGTTTAAGAGCGAAAATGAAGCATAAGTGAGACTTAAGAGAGTCCAGATGACTTTCTCTACCTTGGACTGTTCCTGGATAAATGAGGGAATACGCTGAGTAGTAGCTCTAGCCAAAAATACAGCACAATACACCATTTCAATCTGCAGTATCTTTAGTTTAAACTTAGAAATCAAGACTTCACTTACCATCACTGCTTCCTTCTCTCTTCAGCATCTGTACAGCTCCCACGTACTTCTTGAGCTGGACTTTGAGCACCTCGTTTTCCCTGCGAACACAAACACAACGCCTTAAACAAAAGACACCCATGGCATTCTCTGGCATTATTAGAATCAGATTTGTGGAGCTGGAGATGTTTACCGGGTCGCCCTGACTGAGAGCTGCAGACGAGATAGTGAGTGTTTTGAGAGCTTAAACAAAGTGTTGGAAATAAATATTGTGGTCAGATGATAATAAGTGCGTGTCTGAAAATGTTAGATACAAATTGGAAGGGTTCATGCATGGTTGATCTGACTGTGCGGGGAATTCGCAGTTCTAGGAAAGACTACAGTGAAACTAAGGGAGATATTAAAGGGCACATTAAAATCCATTCGATATTTCTGTTTTAGAAGTTGCACACTAGTATAAAGGGCCCTTTTCTGATCTATGTTATAATGTCATTTCCTCATCAAAAATATACCTGGAGTTGTTCACACATGTTCAACACACAAATCCTGCATAATTAAGCTCTTCTCTCAAATGGAAAACACATCCATTTTGTAATGTCATGTGTTAATACAAGAAGTGCTCCACTTCATATACTTTCACTATACTATACTACAATTTATTTTATTTTTTTTTTTTTGCCATTTATCTCTATAAAAGTAGGATTCAGTTCAAAGTGCACATTGTAAACAAATTTAGTGTCAACATTTCAGAGAAGACTGAAATATGAACTGATAAACTAATACAAGAATCCCATGCATTTCAAAGCAGGTTTCTACAATAATACAGAATATAAATCTAAAATATTTTGTTCTTTGTAGAGGACATTCTATTATCCAAGTCCATATTTCTCAAACTGTGGTGCATGCACTATTAGGCGCTCTGGATTATAAGGTGCACTGTCATAGAATGGTCTATTTTCAAACTTTTTTCAGAAATAAACCGCACCGGACTTTAAACGAAACACAACAGTTAGATGGGTCAGTTGAACTTTGTTTGGCGCATTCACGGTGACTCTCGGCTTTGTTCAGTTGTGGCGTGTAGGGAGGGTGCTGTCTGGGACCGCTGGATTGTTGGCGTGCTCGCAGTGACTCAGTTGTTCAGTTGTGGCTAGAAGTGGCACATTGCACTCACTTTATCAGTTCGTTCCTCCGTTCAGTTCCTCGTGTTTTTCGCTGTCTGCTCAGTGCATGTTTGTGTGCGCTGCAGGTGGTGCGGCTTTGTAGTTTACTGAAGTCGTACTGGGACACTTGAGTGGATTCGTGTATAGGGCGCTCTGGATTGTGGGGTGTGCATTAGTTTTTTGATGGGGTTGGAGGCTTAAGAGCGCGCCCAATAACTCGGAAAATACGGTACCATTGGTGGCATGCGAGTTCCTTCAGGCCATATTTGGACAGCTCTTGTTTAGAACTCCAGTGGAAGTAATATATACCTGGTTTAAGCTTAGAATAGATGTTTTCTTTGGCGACTCTCGGTGTGAAAAGTTAGAGATAAGTTAAAGTTAGAGATAGAGTTAAAGTCTGATCTAAGTAAGTGCAGCCTTTGGGATTTGATCATTGTGTCAATAAACAGTGATGATGATTCAATGTCGATATGTATTGAGCATCCACAAATTACAATGATTTTTTTTTTTTTTTACATTTTTGTCATGGACTTAAAACAACCTGTGTATTCTCAGTCATCCTGTGAACTTTTAAACTCTGTCCACACAAATCATGAGCCTATTGTAGCTTCAAGCAGTTGTCACTTACATTTAACTCCCATTGTCTCCCTCTAAAACCCCCCCGCCCTCTCTTTGAAGCAGAGACTTTTCAGCTGTCTGCTTATCTGGCCTTATTCACTGTCAAAACCCAACCATTCGCGCTCAGAAAACTCGCCGATTCCACGCGACCATCCGGACATCGTAAAGCTATCTTTTGGTTACAGCCAATAGCAGTGACGGAGCATTTGCAGATATCCAGATAAACGGAATAGAAAAGAGTATTACAAAGGTTACGTAAGGGCCACAGTGTTTGCAAGCTAACCTTTTAATGACTCACTTACTCACCACGGACATCCATCCAACATTCATTTACATCGCCATGTAATTAATGATATAAGATACATATTAAAAAGTAAATAATTGAATAAAAAATATATTGATGTTACAAAATAATATGTATTAATTGTTCGAAAGAAGTACATTTGCTTGAGAAGTAACCATAGACTGTATAAAAAAGTGAACTAAGGGAGTGTGACATCATCCAGTCAAATGAAGCTCACAGCGCACTTATAGGAGCGAATTTGGAACAGAGTTTCCATATTTGGAATAGGAGTTTATTTACTGGCAAAATTAAGAAATAAAAACATCAGGATCATGTAGGGGGGTTAATATGAACAAGACCACACGTTACATTTTAAGACCAAAAGGACGACGCTCACTGCAGCAGTTACAGAGAGAGGGGTAACGTCATTTGGAGTTGATGGAGCCGAAAGCGCCCCCATGTTCACTTCCTATTATGGAACGCAAAAGTTAGAGGGTTAGTTATGTCCATTTATATATACAGTCTATGGAAGTAACTTGGCTTTGTTTACACACATCTTTAGTAGGGGTGAATGCTGAATGAAACTTAAAATAATGACCATGTATCAAAAATACACATTACCTTCCATCAGGCTGCGCCACTATCTATTGACAACATGCCCCCCGACATAAGCACATAGCAGTAATGAAGGTGTTCTGATGGCAAAAAATGCTCATAAGTCTGGCAATGATTTATGGCCTTGAAAAAAAGACAAAGACCTCTACCTGTGTCATCACAATCATGGGAAAATGTTAAACAATATAAAAAATAAATATTTTTGGAGGGGGCTCAAAGCAAGAGGACAGTTTTTCTACACATGTGAATGCAGAAGAACTGAAGAATGGTCAAATACAGAGGACAAATTTCACTCAGTATGACCAAGTTAACCTGATCGCAATGAGAAACTTGTTTAACTCCAAAAATATGTCAAAGTTTTGTCAAAGTACACCACCTACATAAGAATAAGAATTTATTGATCCACAGAGGGAATTATTCAGTTGCTTTGTATAAAATTATTGCTACTAAATCAATACAATGAAGGACAAAATAATTATGTAACTATCACTGGTAAATTAAAATTGAAATATTGTAAAATAGAGTGGTATATTATTAAAACAGAATGAAAAATATGTACCTATTATTGACATGCATTTTCTGTACTGTATAGATATTATTTGAAAGGACAAATGTAAACAGGAAATAAGAGTGGTGGAGACATTCACACTTTTCTAGTGAGGAGTACATATGCTTGATATTGGCTTTGCCTGGAATGTTTCACAATTTGGCATTAAACTAATCTGGGAGTTATACAATTAGAGGTGTTAAGGTCTAAAACCTGATTCTTATCTTATGCATTCTTATTGTTAGTGTCGCCAATTAGGGAGCAATTAGGGAAAATGATCGAATTGCAATTTTATGTTTAAATATAAGGATTTGTCAATTGCGTCCATTCAAATTGCGTTTTCGATGTGAGTCTCGTCTCTCCCAGTTCACATGGGTGTGATTGACAGGTGGATTAGCCTATAAGGGACATGCATGGTCCATTTGTATCAAAACAAACTGTCTAAGGAAAAAAACATCACTATGGACTAAAAAACACAGCAGATTTCTGTAGAATCAATGAGCAGGTAAAGGTGCACTATGCAACTTTTCTGGGAGAGGGTCCACCACCTGTATGTCTCCATGGGGATGTCATTGTTTTGCCTGGAATGTGACGTAGAACAGTATTCAACTTGGGTGTTTTGCATTTATTCAATTCCAAGTGTTTTTATTGCTTAAAATACCATCAAAACATGCATTCTTACAATACAGTGAGACGCCTTTCAACAGATCTGACTTCTTGGCCTAGTTTCGTTTCTGCTTATCTTCATGGACACAGGTGAGTTTAACGGTTTAACTCCTTTCAGTCTGTTAATCTGAGGTGAGGGAAATTTGATTGATTTGATTTGTTTGCGAATGACGGGTGACCAATGAGCTCCTCGGTTTCCTTTGTCACTGAAAAAAAAGACTAATTGGATGAGCATGTTTGGTTGTGGCTTGAGACATGATGAAGGGAGTGGAGACCAGACTAATATCCATCTGTATAAGAAAAAATATAGAAAGATATAATTATAGAAGCCATACTTGTATAAGATCAAAATCCAGGACCACACACCCCTGTTACAATCTGCTCCCCCACAGAACAGAGGCTTTCTCGGGGGAAATTTGAGTGCAGTGTAAACAGGCTGCTGACGAGTGATATTACGCCTCCTGTCAGCGGGGCCATGTAAATACGCCATTGTCCCCAGCACTTCCTTTTATAGTGCTCAAACAATGCCCTCAGATGCGCACTACATTTTCCAATCCAATTTCCCGGACTGCCGATAAAGCGCTGTTGAGGCGGCTTCCCTCGGGGCGCGCCGTAGACCCCCCTCACGCTCAGTCATATACATATTTTATTCACACTCATTCAACAGGATTTCTTCGGATATTTATCACGTTGTGGGGGCTACAATCTGTATACACGCTTACTTCTTTGGGAAAAAAATCAGGTTTAAAGTTGAGCTATGTCATTTTTGAATGGTCTGCGATCTGCTTTTCTTCAAGGAGATGTTATTGCTTTGCTTGTAATGTTTCACAATATGGCATTAAACGTATCTATAACTACAGAGAGAGACAGGTCTGTATGCTTTTCAAGGTATTTTTGAAAAGTAAAAATACCTGTAATTGTACGACACTGTAAGCAAAGCAACAACATGGAGAAAAGCAGATGGCGTACCTCCTCACCACAAAAGTTACATAGTGCATCTTTAGAGAGACATAGGACAAAAAAGGTTAAGTTAGGGTCTGATCGATGTTATAATGTTGTTTCCTTATCACAAACAGACCTGGAATTTGTTTCATTCACACGTTTAACACACAAACCCTGTATATTTAGAGTTCTTCTCTCAAACAGAAAACCTATTGTGTATTTTCATATTTTTTAAAAAGTGCATTCATAAACGAATTTTATAATTTCCAA